GCTATCTGGGGTCTTTAACGAATCTGAGAAGATAAAGTCGTCTGCCGTAAAAAAGACGACAAGATTGAACAAAAACACAAATAAACAAAACACTGAATTCTCCCAGTCGACTGCTCATAACAAATTGTTCACCTTATCAGCTGCTAATGACAACGCAAATACTGTACAAACTTGAGAGATACTGTTCTTAAAAAATCCAGCGGTCAAGCCATATTAGTGCATTGTTTTAAGCTACCTTATTCTCTCCTTACTAGTTAACCTTTATTGCTATGTATACGTATGTCACTATCTCTGCATCAATATTAGAAAATTTTCCTTTGCAATAAATATTTTTTTGGGAACTCTCCCGCCAAATCCCTCCGTCCGTAAGACTTTCGGAGAAGGGATAGAAAAAAACATTAAAATAATTAACAATAAAAATAATAATGAATAATAATAATGATGATAATAACAATGATAATAAAAAAGAATGAAAATAATAAGTACGAGGATCTCGAAATAGAAATTAAGAAAACATTGAAACTAAAATCAACAACTGTCCCAGTGGTCATTGGTGCTCTCAGGCTTGTAGCCTACGTGGCAGGCGTAAAAGGGAGAAGGGGAAGGGGAAGGGGGAATTTGGGCGCGCGAGGGAGAAAGGAAAGGAACGCCTGCAAGGACGCCATTTTTTCCTCCGTTTTTCACGCACAGATTCTGAGCGTGAAAATAGTGATTGGTCAGAATTAATTAAATGTCAATCTTCGACTTAATATCTTTATTCGATTGGTTGAAATCAACATCACGCCATTTGAGTAACTAAACATATGTCGCTAGTGAAGCGTGATGAGATTTCTCTACGGGAATACCCCTCCTCCCTCCTCCCTCGCGCGTGGTCTCGCGCCCTAATTCCCTTCCCCTTCCCTTTCGAACGCCTGCCACGCAAGCTATCAGGATTGTCAAGAACGGGACTGAAAACTACGTCACCAAGTTCCCAGGAAACAGAGCTTCAGAGGATTGTCCTCCTTGGGACTGCTCACATACTCAGGATGTCACTGTCCAGCAAGTAATCCACGAGACTTATGACTGCCCTAAGGGACGGACCATTAGAAAACTTATGGCGGGGGCAGGCGAAGTACAAAAAAATATTCATGCTACGGCCTAAAAAAATTCATACAAAGAATTCGATAAAGAAAAAAATTCCTGGGGCTCGAAAATCCCCCCTCCCCCCACAATAACTTTTCTAATGGCCCGTCCCTAAGTTCATGGAATGAATTTGGCTCCACAAAAGGAAAGAGCATGACTCCAAAGAGAATTTATAAATAATAATAATAATAATAACGAGACCTTTAAAACAAAACATAGCACGTTTCGTATCAATAACCGAGCCTGATCCATTTTCCTTGTTTTTACACATTGAATACGGTATTTACCAATGTAACAAGACGTCCTTGTGACACCCGTAAAAAAAATCTACGAATTTAGCATCAAAAACCACAAGGGAGAGTACTACGGAAATGCTAAACGTATAAAGTAACCGGCCCCAGTTGTTCAAAAAGGGAGGAAAATGCTATCCACTGGATAAATTTCTACAATGGATAGCGCAATTGGTTTTCCTAGTAATTATCCATTGGACAGACATTATCCGGTGGGCAGCGTTATCCGACTTTTGAACACAAAACGAAATTACATTAAATTAAAATAAATTAACATAAATTAAAAATCACAACTTTAAGGCACCACATCAGTAGGTGTTTTTTTTTACAAGCGTGGTCGATGAGAAACAAGGCTGTATTTTAAATTATTTACGCGCAAATATGCATGGGTAAAAAAGAACAAAAGAACCCAATACGGTTAAGATAAGTACGAAAAAACATAAATAAATATAATACAACGTAACTAAATTATACCCTGCACATGAGAGGCTTTTCAGGGCTTATAAAATAACATTGCACTGAAAACAATTAAAAATAAAATTAAACAATTTAAAATTAGAATGAACAAGTTAAATCCTCAAATTAATGTCAGGCATCCAATAAGTTTGTTTAGCAACTGCACCTACAAATTGAGCGATGTTTGAACGCGGGAGCAGAAGATTTCGAGTCCAACGCCTCAAGCACCGATCACCCAGCTTCTCGGCGGACCATACTATTATGGTCATAGTATGACCATGGATCCAATATGAAACGAGGCACCCAGTAGGACGACACGACGACGTCATTAGGTGATGTCACTTCAGCTCCGCTTTTAGCTTCCATTCTTATTGTATTGTGAACTGCACAGTCATGGACGCCTTCCTCACAATTACTTGCTTATGTCCTCCTCAGATGCTAGCCGTCTAAAACAAACGAATTGACAATACAGTGTTTATACGAGACTTCGGCTTAAATGTACTGTTCCAAAGTACACCAAGACCGCGTCCCAGGCTAAATTTACACTAGAGGAGATTGTTCCGGATTCATAAATGGTTCCGGATTTACTACATGTATGGTATGCGGATTCGCAGCCATTCATACTACAAACGTATTCGGATTCCCAACTGTTAACACACATCGATATATCCTGCGAACTTTAGCAACGACGACGGCGATAAAAACAAAAACGTATCCCGATATTGCCTTTCGTCAACAATTAAACGGGGTTTTCGAGCACAAAAACGCAGGTTTTCGACAGACGATAACGGAGGTTTTGGAATACGATGATGTCATATATCATCCAGCGCATGCCCTGTAAGGGATGATATAATTGTATTTCCATGATTGTTTTAGCGTTTTCGTGTTAACGGGTGAATCGATTTGAATACGCTACGTGGGGACGCGTATTCTTTCGAAAACGAAGGAAAAAATCTTTGTTTTCACGTGGATTAGGCCTTAATAAGCAAAACAACAAATTTTACAGGTGCAGCACGCTTTTTGGTGTATTTCTTTGCTGCACGACCATGACGTGACATTTCCTTATGAGACGTTCTTTGGAGGGCGTAAACGCCCCACGACGAATTTTTTTTCTTTTTCCAAACTGTTTGAGTGCGGTGCCCACGGAATTCAACTCCAGAGACAATGAAACAACATTTGCCATTTTAAGCGAGTTGGAGTAAACGCCAACAAATTTGAAAAAAAGAACATTCATTTTAATAGTGACGTTTTTGCTGCCCTCGCCGTTCGCCCTATATTCATCAACGTGACACTTCCTTTTGGTTTTTATGCAAATTCTTGTGATCGAAGGCGGAAAAGTATCGGATTCGTTGTAAGAATTGTTTACTCTACAAAACATCGCGAATTTAAAGCTAATCGGATACAAAATCTCCGAAGAATTGACCAAACCGGGACGCTATTATTTGGGATTTACGCATCTGCGCGTAAACGACAAAACGTCCTTTGTGGTAAACATATGACCAGAAAGTATTTTAAACGTTTAGTCTTGGTATCGTCACTTGGTGTTACATTCATGGAACTTATGAAAACTGGCCGCTTTCTAACAGGCTCCTTTGTGTTTACAAACCAAGTACACCATTTTCCATATATTAAAATTCATGCTGGGTGTCGAGGCTTGGGGGAATAAAACAAAAGAAATCATCTTGAGGCTCAGCAATGAATAATACATTTATTTTGTTTTTATTCCCCCAAGCCTTGTAGCCAAGTATGAATTTTAATATATCGAAAATGACCTACCACACTTCTACGGGAATTTATCATCTTCTGGAATTAGCATGCACCGCAATCGTAGGGAGCTAAAACTCAAGCAGACGGGAATTTCCCTAGAAAGGATCGTCTTTTGTTGTTTGTTGTTGTTGTTTTGTTTTGTTTTCTGCCTTTTATATCTGTATCAGGTTCCTCCCCGCGTTACGACTGTACTCTCCTTGTCAGCGGTTACACCTGACCGAAACAAAGTTGTCCGCCAAAAAGTATCAACCACTAAGGCTATGTTCACACTATCCCAGATAGCCCAGTTTGCGCTGCCACGAAAACCATACCGGATAGAACTACTGATCACGCAAAAGAACGGCGATTTCCGGACGAATTTTGTAACGGAGCGAAGCTACGCCGCCCCGTTCTCTAAGTGAAGAGTCAAACATCGGACATGTTTCCATACTGTTTTTGAGGCGTGTGTGGCCGAGTGGTTAACACCTCATGATCAGACTCCGGATCTGGAGGTCCGGGGTTCAAGCCCCGCCCTTCTCGTTGTTTCCTTGGACAAGGAACTTCACTCCACTTTGCCTCTCTTCACCCAGGTGTATAAATGGGTACCAGCGACGTACTGCTGGGGGAGTAACGCGAAAAGCTATCCGGCACAGTATGAAAGGCAAAGGTAAAGGCGCACACAATCCAAAGGCTCAAACAGCCGGAGCTTATTCCGGTTTCATTAGTTTGAAGCACCTAGGGGTATTGCTACTCCCCCCTGGACGGGATGCTGGTCCATCGCAGGGTTACTCCCCCAGTAGTATGTCCAGGGGAGAGTAGCAATACTCCTAGGTGCTTCAAACTAATGACACCGGAATAAGCTCCGGCCGTTTGAGCCTTTGGCTCGTGTGCGCCTTTACCTTTACCTTTCATACAGTACCGGGTAGCTTCTCGTGTCTACGCAAAAAGTTGTGAACATAGCCTAAGGATGTGATAGAAAGTCTTCTGGGAAACACTAATTTTTTTAACATACATCATCTATATCATTCCAACACAGTATCGTTAAAAATACCCTGATAATAATTTAGGGAAGGGATAACACCAATAAATGTTGTTTCGCCACCAGAATTCCTTTGTGTCGCAACATTTACGGTTTTATGTTTTTTTTCCTCCCACAGGTTACGCAATAGGGTGTATTCTACCTCTCAAAGGGTTCTTGAGTTTCTTAGGGGAAACAGGAACCCAACTTATGATGAAAAAATAACAGTAACACTAAATCACAGAACACTGGGATAATTGAGGCAGGAGACATAAGTTCTAGAATGTTGACTGATCACTTACAACCTTTTTTTTAACATTTGCATTTAAAATTTTATTCCAGTGTGCATATCACACGAAATTAAAAATTCATTCTTTACTAACCGTAGGCACAAAACTAGCAAAAATATTACCTTGGACCATACTCCACATCTTCTCAACAAGGGCTCCACACTGCTCTTCCCAGTTGTACTTCGCTTCATAACTAGTCCGCAGGGCTTGGACGTCTTGAAGTCGTTGTGATCTCCTTTTTCGGCGAACAGCGGCAATTGCTTTCGCCCATTTCTTGGGGTCATCAAAATTTACCAAAAAAGATTCTCCTGATGGTAAATCGCGCAGCACGTGGGCAAATCCTGAATTGTCACTCACCAGAATCGGAACACCAGCAGACAACGCCTCCAAAGCTGTTAATCCAAAACCTTCTGTTCTGGAAGGCATGATGGCAAGATCAACCTCACAAAACAACTCTTTTAACCTCTCCTTGCTCTGTACAAACTCTCTCACAATCAGCTGATCTTTAGCGATTCCAGTCTGGAGCAAGTGTTGGGCGACTTCGTCTTGTTTCCCAATGGGAGCGCCCACGAACACCAGGCAGTAAGAGCTATCTTTCAATTCAACCACTGCTTCGGCGGCAATGTCATATCCTTTGAGACTAAAGTCTTCCGAATCACCGCGGCCAAAGGTTAACACCTTAAACTTTCCTTCTTCGCTTGTAGCTTGTTCCAGCATTGAAAATTCATGGAATATACCAGGAGTAAGCTGAAAGATATATTGGTGTTTCTTACAGAATCGAAGGTAGGAGGAATAGACCTCTCTCAATTTGGGCCCGACTGTAACAACAAGATCCGACAGTGTGCACAAGTCCACTTCAGCTCTGTTCTTCTCTTCACCTCTGCCTCTTGCTCTAGGATAATCCTTGAACGCTCCAAGTTCCTCAGGTGCGGTGTGAACTACCTGTACCCACTTACAACCGTGAGACGTTTTAATTAGTTGGGCATGTTTTCCCAACTTTGCCCCATGGCCCACAATGATGTCGATGGTAAGGTCTCTTGGAGGATTTCTCAACCAGTCTAGGGGATCATCAAACCCTGGGAGAGGCGGTACTTCTCTAATAGCAATGTTGTAGCTTTCCGCATCTCTCTTTTCTTCCTCACGACATTTAAATTTTGGAACCAAGAAAGTGACTTTGACTAGGTCGTGTTTCGCCAACTGAATGGCGAGCTCTCTATTGATAGTTGACAAACCACCCATAGATGAACCCCACTCACCGGCCAACAAAGTAACATTTAGTGGTTTTGAAGAATTCTCTGAATCACTTTCGACCTCTCCGACTCCTCTTGTTGCAACTGATCTAGAAAGATTCAAGCCCTTGTAGAAGCAAAATAACCACTATTAAAAGAGCACACACGTCAATATTTACTTACCTCTTGCAACGAACTGAAAAATAAAACTACCAGGTAATCGTTGCATTAAGACGGGGGTGGGGGGGAAGAAATGCTTCATATCCAAAAATGCTTTCAAAACAAATAAGTGCTATCACACCAGTCTCGGAACCCCCCAAAAAATACAAAGAAGAATGGTTGGACAAAGACTTGAAAGTAATTCTTGTCGCTTTCTGTACTTTGACTTTCGTATAAACAGAAAAGAAGAAAAAAATGTTACTCTTGTTATCAGCCGCCCAGTTTAAAAGCCGTAGTATTGATCTGGCGAAGTATAGATGTTGAAATCCATTACCAGCCACCTAAGAAGAACACTCCTTGAAGCGAAGTCAGTGACGTAAGGGGCTAATAGACCTTTCTAGCTTGTATGTTTTGTTTTCCCATTTCAGACCAGGTGATGGCGTGTTACCCCAGAGAACTGTTTCTTTCAAAGGTGCAAATGTATGCATAATTTATGAAAAGACAAAAACAATTTCGTTTCAGAACATCACGTGGTCTGAATTGGGAAAACAAAACATACAAGCTTAAAAGTTATTAAAGTGATCAGAAAATTACTCTACTTTGTGATGTTCTCAGTGAGATTACTGACTTTCAAGCTAGAACCTTGCTTAAGCTTTGTTGCACTAGAATACTCTCTTCCAGCAATAGTGCAAAGGGGATTTCCGTGTATAACATGGTAGAAACTGCTTTTCCATTTACAAAAAGGAACTTATTAATATTGTCGCACTAAGCAAACAATATCAAGCCATGTTACTTTTAAACGAAGGAAAATATGACCATCACCTAAAAACAACAAAGCTATACCTGATTTCTTAGTGACAACCACTTCTCCATTCCAGGGACCGTTTTCACGCACCCACGAGGGACCTTTGTGCAAATAAAACGCTGTCCCTTTTTTAATGCAAAAAGGTGCAAACAGTCTTCATGGGGACATAACGCTTGTTGATGGTTTGGACAATCAGTCAGACAGTGGGGACAGGCAACACATAATTGATGCTGCAATCCACTGAGGCATGGCAGTTCGTTAGACAGCATTTGTAAAACTTCTTCTATGAACATACAGACACGTCTGGCTATTTCAGCCAATTCTGCCTTTGAAACGATTGAATCTTGTTTTCTTTGCTTGAGGACAATCTTGATGAAACTCTTCTTGCAAAGAAGAATGAAATCACAGACTACCTGTTTTCCAACAACAAACCAAGCACCATTTCGGTAGAGGCTAGGGAGTTCTGTCTTCCATGTCTTACAGCACCAAGAAATGAACCTTGACACCAGCTGTGTGAAGAGACCGTGGGGAACAAACCCACCGGCAAAGTGAAGATACAAGGGACATGGGTCAGAAGGGGATGGCTCCAGTTTGCAAATGCTTTTGGGCGTGGTCTTGAGCTGAGCAGGTACAAAGTACTTAGTACTGGTGGCCGTGGACGTATACTTTGCTATCAAACCGAACTGCTCCATCATGTCTAAGATGTCTTCCTTTTCAACACGTTGGCTTTTAAATTTCGAAAAAACATGTTCCACAAGCTCCATTTGAAGGATACCACTTTCTTCCACTTCACGCCAGCACTGAGAATAGAGAGGGTCCTAACATGAGAAAGCCATGCAAAATTGTCAAGATGAGAAATATCTACAAAGCATTCACTCTACATCTATACTTCTCACTGCCAAGACCATCCAAAACATTATTATTGCATAAAAATGCCAAATTCCGATTGCTAGAATACTGAAAACAAATAGTTTCACATAAAGTACTCCTCAAGAGCCTAAGTTAAAATGGTCCAATTGTATATTATTTCACCCAGACACTAGCTCAGAGCCACCGTACTTAGCTATTGCCACTGACAATTTTGTTCGTTTGCTTGCTTTGTCTGGTTGTATACATACAGCTGTTTCGAAAAAGGTTGTCGGAAAAAGTGCACGCGGCAATCCGGAAAAGTATTGTGGGTGGTTTTTAGTTCACTTTTTCTCAAATAAATTTCACAGAATGGCAGGAGAGGGCATGGACGTATGTTTGCGAGGGCTAAAGGAAAACAAAAAAAGTAGGCTCGACAGCTACAGTGTCAAGAACAAGTGTATTGATCATATCCCATATTACCTTTCGGGATTGTTGCGTGCACAGTTTTTGCGACAACCTTTCTCGAAATAGCTGTATATACAGCAGAACCCCGATACCTCGAACTTGGATAACGCGAACTCCCCGCTAACTCGAACTACGTTCCATTTTCCTTTGATTTCACCCCAGGTTTCAGTCATTTTCACCCGGTTACCTCGAACTCGGATAAAACTCGAATTCCCTGCTAACTTGAACTCAACTTCCTTTCCCTTGATTAAAATTTCACTGAAATTCACCCTCAGTAACTCGAACTCTGGTTCTTGTAACCCACCCAAAAGCCATGACATATAATCGGTAAAAACACTAAGCTAACACTACAGCAATTTCAATTTAATTGGTGCAATGACAATATCACGTTTTATCATAAAAATGCACAATCATGCCACCGTTTCTGATGAAATAAGTTAAATTTGGACTGTACTATAGACCTCTTTGATAATAACGACCCATTTATTTGTTCTTTCATATGTATTTAAATGAGCCCTTCTGGTCTCGCGTGAAAGTAAGAATTATTTTGTATTTTGCAACGAGGTCAGAAAGGCTAATTATCATACAATCATATAAAAGAATATATTAATAGACCGCCATTATGAACGAGGTCTACGCACTGAAGTGCTGGAAAATCAGTAACTATCCATTATTAACATGGGAAATTGAATATTCAATCGATCCAGATAACTCGAAGCCCCGCTACCTCGAACTGTTTTTCGTTTCCCTTCCGACTTCGAGTTACCGGGTTCTACGGTATATGTATTTCTCAAGGGGCAATATTGATACCAAGATTTGGTGGTCTTTTATGAGAGGTTCCAGCCATACTGATTTGATTCGCAAAGCTGATTTTGGTATTTGGGACAGGTGGTGGCTTATGAGAGGTGGTCATTACGAGAGACGGTTGCACGAGAAGGTTCGACTTTAATTTTCTAAAAAATATATATTATAAATGAATATATATAAATCTCAGAAGAAATAATATAGAAGAACTCTGTAACGGGGCTTTCCTCTGCTGCATTTATGGTGATATCCTTTGATAACGAATTCAACAGAATATAACAGAGGAATTGAAACACTTGTACCTAGTAAGCGAGATCGAAACACCAGGTTTATCAAACGTACAAAAATGCCAAGAAAGTAGCCGCGGGCTACTGGCAAAGTCATCAGGTTCAATGAGTTTTTTTCTGTGAGAGTTTTTGCTTTCTTTCCTTTACGTTTCAATGTGCACTGCAGAAGACGTACTGTTTCGCGACTGTGCCATTTCCCTGAACTGTTTTCGTTTTATTCACCATTGTGTATGGTCTTTCATTTTTCCATCACGTTAATAGCATTTTCCTCTTCTGACAAGCCTAGCCAGATAGATATTTCAAGAATGTTTTAACAATTCACAGTCATTCGAGTTTTAATCATCCTAATCAAACCCGGGGAAAGGCGCTGATCATTGTATTTAGCCATTACTTTACCTAAGTTCGAGTCTGTAATCTTATTTTTAAATTGCATTAGAAAACTCCCGTCACGAACATTGTCACGCCTACTTATCAATTTACGCGATTGGAGTAACTCAGTGCGGACCCAGTACCCAAGCAAGCGAGAAATTTCTGTACTTTGCGCAAAACACGATTCACTTTCGAACTTCCCACGAGGCGTAAGCAATGATAGATGGTCGAAAAGGCATTACAAATACTACAAAGAAAAGTATCTTCTATTTGCCACAATATGTAACTATGAAAAAAGAAAAATTAAACCGTATGATAATTCAGAAATTAAAAAGTCGTCGCACCACAAGCTCTTAACGATGAAGTTTGACGCAAAAGCAATAAGAAATAAATAAATACTCCCACTTCATGGCCACTATACTTCCGCATACATAGGCTGTTTTTATAGTACGGTCGGCAAAACGAATATGAGACATCAAACCTTACATCGCATTTTAGGCTTTCTAAAAAAACTAAGGAAATAGATTTTTCCATTTTTCTTGTGTCTATTGACCATTGCCGAGCGTTTGTAAAGCCCTTCTTACGATAATATGAGAGAGGGCATCTTAGAGGGGTTACATATGTACCCAAGAACTTCAAAACCCGTCGTTTCCCGTGCTGAGTAGTGGTTAAGATGTCCCTGTCGGCATTTTGCGACTGTATTGAGCCTGTCTTTGTTGTTGTCGCATTTTCAACCCATCTTTCTATCGTTTGTCGTCATTTCATCTGTCTTAACATGTCGCTTTTCTCAAGGCCATGTCGTCTGTCGAAAATTTACCTTAGCAGGGCCTTATAAGGGGCCAGCAAATATCTGAATTAAAAATTACTACTACTGAGATCATTATTGCCTCACTACCGGACATCACAAATACGTACCGCTTTGTCAAAACGGGGAATGGTAATCAGTTGTCTAAACAGGTCTATAAGCCATCGTGCGTCCAGAAAAACCGTGTCGCGGTGCTTTACAATTAATCCAAGGTCGTGATAGAAATTCAACACTGTGTGAAACTCGTCCTCATCTGTTATGAAGCAGACTTTTTCGGCGATGGTTTGAAGTCTTCGCACATTTATGTGACGAAAGCTTTCAGCTACCAAACAGTCGATTACTTTTTCGAAGGTCAGCCATCTATTAATCATAAAAAAGGTGTCACAAACAAACTTTAAAAGCTTAGTTAGAAGATATGTTATTACACAGCGTCTAGATTTGGAGTAACAAAATAGAGTGGCATCTGTATTACGGGGTCTCCTTTTAAGCGACCAGTTATTAGAGTCCAATTAATCAAGTAATTTTGCCCTGCTGATTACCAAAATTAATTTTAAAAATGCCCTCCTCGTTAGTCAATCACAATTGAGTAATTTTTCTTTCTATGTTACAGTCAGTAACACATCAACATCTCATTAAGGGTGAGCAAAATGATCATAACTGACGATAGCTGATTAAGGTCTTAACTATCATGCGCTAATGCTATCATGGCTCGTGGTCAGAAGGTCCATAATAACCTGTGGTAGTCCATGAAATTTCCAAGATGGCGACACTGAACCACCGAGGAAATGACAGACTAGGTTGTTTTCGAAGTTTTAAAGAATTTTAAAGACGAAGCTATTTAGCGATGCACTGAAAGGGAAATCCTCTCAGGTAGGTAAAATCTGCTAGTGTGATAATGCAGGTGAGATGAACTGAACATGTGACTTGGAGTTCCATACTTTATAAAAGTACTTTGCCCATGTGATACGCAAAAAAGGTGGGTGTCCGTTTCAGTTACCAAGGAAACATGTTTTAGATAAACAAATCTCAGGTTTGAAAACTCTTTAACTTTAATTGCAAAAATAGTGAATGTATAAGATGAAGATGCATTAAGTCGACAGTTTACTTGAATGACCTTATTTTCGATGTAAACACAAAAAGTGCAGCAGGTTGAGGTTCTGATACTCTTCTGCTTGTCATTCAAATCCCCAAAAATACTTTTAAAAGGGCTCGAAAGACCTCAAAGCAGCATAATTGGACGTTTTGGGTTTGCCTGAAAAGAATCTTGTGTCAAACAATAACAGAGAGGGAAATATATGGCTAAGATAGATAAACAATGACAGTGAATAATGAGGACGCTCACTTGAAGACACAAATCTGGGGGAAAAATTGGTGGCATTTGAAGTCCCGTTAATTGCCTTCCTTGTTTTCAATGTCCTAGAAACTTGGAGGCGATATAAATTGATGACTAATTTCGGGATTGTCAAGTTTTTTAAACAAACTATCCATCGGTTTGTAAATTACCGTGAAATTTGTAGGCGTGGACCAAATTACATACAAAAATGGTGAAGAAAGCAGCTGCCGAACGTATGCTAATCAAATTCTCCTTTCTCGCAATCGGCCAAAGTAATCCCCGTCGTCTTTTTTCGTAGACAGTTTCAGATGGAATCAAACCGTTATAAGATGAAACTGCATTTTCAGAGCTCATCATTTTCTTTAGATATTAGTAAATTATGCCGATGGCATGTTTATTCGCTGTTTTTACGACCCTTAAACCTTGTTCGAAATTATTTCTAAAACGCTCTCATAGAATTTCTTCAAACTTTGCCATAATTGAGGCAACTAAGGGAGGTACAAGTTCCCTTAAGCGACTTCTGAAAAAGACTCCTGGTACCGAGTGGTAGAAAGAAAAGTAAAAAACGAAAAGGCGTCATTACGTTACCACGGCAACTGCCATGTCAATAAAACAAGGATCATAACAAATTTTCATCTTTATACAGTACAGCCTTTCTTAACCTTTTTCCGATATTTTTGTTAATGCCGACGTAGTAAACGCTCAAAGTGGGAAAGTATATTTCCTACAAAATGTGGTCGAGCCACCTTAATTTGAACTTATCATTGCGAATTTTCAAATGCTATCGGCCATAAAAACCGTTTTTAAAAAATTTCGTCATACATATGTATGTACTTTTATAGGTGACTTCGTTGTCTTACGTGGTTTGTTAGGTGGCTCGGCAAATTTCGGAGGGCAGCCAAGCGCGGCAATTCACGCGTGATGCTTGGGACTGTTTGTTCTAAACACGAGACAGGAAAATAGGAAATCCCAGAGCACAAAATGACATCACTTCAATATTCACTCAACTATGAGCGTACGTCAAACGAATTCACAAGTTTTCAACGGATATGAAATTCAAAGATTATATAGTGCACTAATTATTGAGTGTAACCCTGAAAACGTTTAAAGAAAATCAATTCGATTTAATCGCTGTTTATGTGAATGAAGCCTTAAAAACAATGCTGCGCTCAATAGTGTGTTTTGCTCTGCCCGATTCATATATTTTCGTGTGTTTCGAAATCGCTTAAGTCTACCTGGTTTCAGAGGTTTGGAGAAAGTACACGGGAAAAGAGTAAGTGGTACAAACTTTCCGCAAACATCCAAAAAGTTGTTTGATAAATTCCAGTCTTTAGTTCACGCATAAAATATACCCCATATATAAAATATCTCATAATTTCTCAGCTTGATTTTTGTGAAACTTCGCACAGCAAAAGAAAAGCACACAAAGTAAACATAGTCTAGGGCCATTTTTGAAAAAATGCAGGTAAGAGCTAAAATTCGATCAAGATCTTACTACGTGATTTTCATTCCGATCGTAAAAATAATAATATCAAAATATAGATCAGTCTACGGGTAATCTATGCGTTATAATGGATTTACAATAATGATTAAATTGTTTAGGTAAAAGAAGTTCAAAGAGGGAAGGTGAGCCCCCAAAATACTGGGTTGAGCCAACACACAAAAATATCAGTGCATGCACCTGTGAAAACCACTCTTTTCCAAGACTTGTCTTTGAAAGCGTTCTTCCGGCTGAATCAGTCGTTTCCAGTCGCAAGATGGGCCATAAAAAGTTCGAGTTCACATTAAGGTATAAATCTTGATGAACTCCGCCAAAAAAGGTTGTGTTTATGTATAAATGACGTGTAGCGCCTCGAGCGCGGGCACTTACTTTCTTCAGCAAGCACCTATGGGTAAATTGGATAAGGCTACTTGACACTCAATGGCCAAGTAGTTCAAAGCCCAAGTAGCGGTTATCCTGGGTTAGCTACAAACAGGGCATATCAGTTGTCATGGTAACTAACCCAGGATTTGCACTCATCGGCTTTCCAACCTCTCGACTCAGAGCGCACATTATACGCTTGCTGTGTTACAAATCGTTTTTCATTACACCACGTGATTCAACCTCATTCCCAGGGTCCTCTCCTACCCAACGGGTACGAGAGAGAACCTGGGAACGAGGTTGCACGTGATTTTGCTTTCTACTAACTTCTAATAGCCTAAAAGACCAAGGTGAAATATCCTACTCCACCTGATTGGTATTTTCTCTCCCATGTAAGGCTCCTGTCTCAACACCTCCATGATCCTGTCCCTCAATGCGACAATTCCGTCCCCAGAGGGAACAGAAGAGTCACACCCTTACGATACAAATGAAAAACAAAAATAGGTCAGTCACTAGTCAAAACAACAGACTCTACAAACAAGACTTAGATTATTTATCCGCGATAAAGAGGCTCCAGTTTGGACATGTTATCCAAAAGTCAACTTAATTGCGTGCCGGCTATAAAAAGGTGTCAGACTTTTCTCAACTCCGACATCTCATAAATTTATATTATAGTAATATGTAAGTTTTAATCTAAATAGCGTTGTATGAAAAACAGGTTTAAGTTAACGGGCTGTGGGTTTCAAGGGCGTTACTGAAAGCAACTCTAAGTTAAGTTGATGCTGGTGCAATAAGTTACCACTTCGCTATTAAATAAAGGTTTACGACTGCATGTGGCTACAAGTTTAAAAATACGCATTATTGTACTAGGAATACGTGTCTCACAAAACCTCACGAAGCTCAGGAAAAGAACCAACTTAGGAATAATAGGGAAAACGCCAAGAAAGAAGAAAACAAAAACAAAAACGTGTACTAAGCTGGCGTTGAACTCGGTATGCACACTCGCACGGTACACGCCTACGCGACAGGGTCAAGAAAGATTTCACTCCCATGGCAAGTGACTGTCAGAGTAATCTATTTACAGCATTTTTTCTGCGCACATAATGCCGGAAAACGCCGTTTGAAGCTAGTCGGGTCGTTACATGGATTACAAAAATAGATTTCAGGAAAATAAGTAAGGTTTTGACGGTAACAAGACGAACTTTAACGCATTTCATTGCACTCGAAGAACATATGGCCGGCAGAAGCAAACTTGTCTGCGGCGTGAGAAGCATTACAAGCGCTCTCTTGCCACGATTTTCGCTGTAAAACACCTCTGCCGTTGAAATTCATCGCCAAAGGCCTTTCTTGGCTGCTAAAGTAACCGCAACAACAACCGGGCTAAATTGTTTTGTCGCGGTATTGGGTATTCTGCGAAAGTTTACGAACTTACGAACTTACATGACCACGACATTACAACATAGTGGCCTCGCCTTCCCTAAGGGGTGATATTAGCCACAAAAAGGTTCTTCTTCCAGGGTTACCTTTAAGCTCAGGACTCTGTGCAAAATTAAAGCGCTCAATTTACGGCTTTCATGTTGTCATGAATTAAAAGAAATTTCTCGTGACGTTTTTGCTCGTGATGCAAAAATAACAGCACATTGAAACAACCAGTTTTCAATCTGCAATCCTCAATTTCAAAAAAATTTACTTGGTTGTTGTACCATTGGTCAGTTTAGACGCATTAGTGTCTGTTTCCCGATTGAGTTCAGTAATAAATGAACGTTTGAAGTTCAAATTACATTTACAACTAATTTTCATAAAAGGACTCTACCTGCTTGTGGATCCGTCCATAACAAATTCTTCATCGGTTTTGTCCAATATTCCCATGGTGACATATTACTCTGTGCGTTATCGCCGCTTAAAACACCTTGTGTGTTATCAATGCTAAAGAGTGGCCGGATCACATGCTGTGCGTATTCCTCGCCAGAAATTCGCTGCTCTATTTGTGATATCATTGTTTTAGTGTCTTCAAATGGTTGGTCTGCATGTGTACCAACAATGATAACTGGAGGCCGCAGATAAGGCACCTGTCTTTCGCTTTTGTCTTTCTCTTCCCCTCTTGGTTTCAGCTGGTGAACTGTAACAAGCCAAGACAATAAATTGTCCAAATTGGTTTCGGAGTTTGGGTTCTCCAAAATCACATCATGAGTTCCCTGTCTAACACAGGGTTCAGCCAAGGCATCAAGTGGTTTGCTCAGGTTGTGCACAACAACATAAAGAGCTCGTGGTGACAAAAAGACAGGATGGGATGCATAGTACAGGTGCTGTCCTGCAAAATCCCATAAATCCACGACTACGATAGAATCTTCTTTGTTGGCACTATAGACAGCTTGGTGACCTTCACGTAATATTTGCTTGAAACACTTATCAGCATGTTCTGTGACGTCTGCGGGGGGATGCATTTCCAATTTCTTCAGTAAAAAATCGGCTGCTTCCTTGGAAACATCACGGCCATCCCCAGGACAACCTGCCCCATTGCTCTGTTCAGCTGAAATGTTTGCCTCCTTGAGAAAATCAGCATCCTTGGCAAACTGAAACCAAATTTTGCTTTATTTTAGCCAGTAAGGGGAATTCATGTTTTCACATAACCGTTTTCTCATAAATGTTTTTAATACTTACACCTAAAAATGACGTACAAATCTATAATGAAATGACCTTATTTGACCTTTGCTGAGGGGTATGTCAAAGGGTGTAGTCTTGGTTTCCCGTTGACAATCAGGGAAAGCAGCCGTTTCGGTCAAAAGTAAAAAGAAGAGAGCCCTGAAGGGGTTAAAAGGCAACTGGGATTGGCCTGTTTTTACACGAGGAAAATGGAATTTGCTAATTTGTTTACTGGGACTGAGATATTGTTTATTAAGAAAGGACGAAAAAGCACCAAAATGGGAAATGACAATTGTCTTTTCCAGTTGTGGGAAAGAAAGAAGAAAAGAAAGGAAGCAAAGAAGAGGATCCTGGGAACGAGGTTGAAGGTAACGTTTGCATTATATGCAAAAGCTAAGGTTTCTTAGTAGGAAGCAAGAAGCAGGAAGCAGTTCACTATACACATCTCAATTCACATTAAAACCTTGCAACATCAAATGCAGTTCCCTTGGCCTGGCATAAAAAAGTCAAACGGCCCACCACACAAAAAGATTAGTAAAATTAGCATAGCAAGCCGAACGAAACGTGCACGTTGGCTGAAATTCACTGTAAATACTGGTGCTAGACAGCACACAGAATGGGCTGATCGTTGACTTTGCCTATGAACTTGTATGAAACTCAACCGCGTCTTCAAACCGTTAAATTTGAATTTACTGAAAGTCGCAGGACGTATCAAGCGGAACTGATGAGCAACTTGATTCAAATCATGACGCCAATGTCAGTTTACCTGTTTTTTGAGTCCCCTTACAGTAAACAGGTAAGTAGCTTTAGCGCCAATTTAAGGTAGCAGGTCCACGACGACGAAACAAGCTTTATTATTGTTTAGGAACGAAAAGTACTATAAACGTCTTATGCGTACTGACAGCTAATCTTCGCGAGTCTCAGGTCATTGCTAGCGGGGTCGTTTTTAGAAACCGTCAATCAGCCCAAATTATGATGACTGGCAATAGTTTCCAGCATTTTTTCATAAATATCACCACTAACAAAGGTCCAACCATTGGTAAACAAGTTATGAGCATAACTGTAACCTGTTTAACGCACTTCATCTGAGCTGCTTACAATTTAAAACTGAGTTCGCTGATCCCTCTGCCGGTCGCAAATGACTTCCAGCGGGCTGATTTTTATTTACATCATCGGCCTTAAGGCCCGTTTCTCGAAAGTCTAGGTAACGTTTCGGGCCTGAAATCAAATATTCCATAAAAATCTTAAGAATAAAAGCGCGGGTCCTTGTTAAGAAACCACTCCATTTTGTTTTGTTACCTGATAGTTTTCTGACATTATCTGCGAAGCTATTAACTGCAGACCTTTCGAGAAACAGGCCCCTGCAGAAAATGCTCCTCCAAAAAGGCATTCCCATATTATAGGTTTTAAAATTCTAAAAATATAAGCTAGTTTTGGAGAAGACCTTTGTCGGAATTACAAGAGGATTTACAGTCGACTCTACAAAGCGCCCACTCTCTATTTAGCGGCAAGTTACTAGAATGCCGACGTTCAAGGCTTTTAGTAAATCACCGTAATAGAGCCTCTCTTTAGCACCCATTTGTCCCTTCCTCAAGGGTGGCCGCTTAAGAGAGGTTCTACCGTAGTTCTTAAGTACCTGATTTGTTTGGGAGCCATTATCCACATCCCCCATTGCTTTATATTTCGACTCTTGTCTCGAAGATACTCCGTCAGATTCCACTGCTGAATCGTCTCCTTCAGACAGAATCGAAAGGTACTTTTTCTCAGCGACTACTCTTGCAACACCTCTGGAAACCTCGGACAACAACGTTTTGTTTTCGCTGTTGCAAGACCAGTTTTTAATTCGATCTGCATGAATCTCAAACTTTGAGGGGTCAATTCCAACAGTGCTTTCTTCTTCTGGATCGAATGGAAGACCTATGAGGTATTTCTTCAAACTCGTTTTCCCAGCGCGATCCTGGCCAAGAAGCAAAATTCGACCCCGGTAGACATTCACATATCCATCTCTTAGGGCCATTTCATAAATAGCCTGTGCACCATGTCCCCGGGCTCGTATTTCTGCTGGAGCTATAACTGTAAAGCAAAACAGTGAATTATTTTAAAACTTATTTTGCACTTTTTAGTAAAATTGCCAAGTTTGACAGCGATTTGTTGAAAGCTTACGAGACCTATGAGGTTTCAGAGAGACAGGTATGGAGATTTCAGAAAGAGAGGTATGGAACTGTTTGCAGCACCTGAAGAAAACCGCCACTGGACCGGACCTCATACCGGTTTGGGTGTGGAGGGACCACGCGGAAATTTTTACGCCTTTAATTTGCAAGATCTGGAACTTGTCCCTGAGGTTTAGTACCTGGCCCTCATCGTGAAAAAGAGCTCACGTGACCCCCCTCCCCAAGGTTGACGTTCCCAAGGGAAAGACAGACTACAGAGGAATCAACATCACCCGTGTAACTGCATTGAGAATCGTCAACAGTGCATTATTTACAATAGTTTTCAAGGACAATGGAAATGTGTGAACAGGGGCACTATACAGGGCAGTGTGAGTGGTCCATACTTATTTAGCATTTTTATTAATGATCTGGAAATCAGCATAGATAATTATTACCCAGCTCTGTTTAAATACGCGGATGACTCTACTCTCATTGTTCCCGTTTGGGGTAATGGCCACTGTCGTACGGATTTGGTGATTTTGGTGATTTTGGTCATTCCGAAGAAGAAAGAAACAAAATATCTACTCAGAAAAAAAAGTGCTCATCGGCCAGATATTTAGTCTGCTACACAGCCGTTTTTAGTGTTGTCACGCAACGCTCCTCCCCACTAACGGCTGCTGAAAACCGAACTACATTCCTTTCCCGTGATTAGCCAATTATAATTCAGCTCCCATTTTCTGGAAGGTGTTCGCGCCGCCTTTGCGCAACTGTGACTCCTCCAATCACAGGTTTGCTTTTATCGTTGGCCCATGTGTGAATGACAGAATAATCAAAATCGTCGCGTGAAAACAAGCAATTAACTACAGTGTTGTCGTAGTCGAGTCCTATTCAAAATTTAGGACATAAGCAGCAACAGCAAGCAAGTCGAGCAAATTGCGATGCACAATATGGATGTGCTCATAAAGTTGCCAGGTATAGTTTCGAGAAATCGCTCATCGATAATTTATAAGATTGCTTTTTGAATCAGTACCCTTGAGAGTTTAGTCTTCACAGGAACACAATGAGCACATCCGGTACATTAAATTCTTCATTATACATCAGCACATATACACGTTAAATGAAGAACCAACCGATCTTCGTAAAAGTCTTCTAGGCCTATCAATCCTTTTTTCACTTGGACCTTTCTTGACCGCTTAAAACAAACTTTTTTGCAAATTAACCTTTTCGTTGCATGAAAACACAGAGCCAGTCTAAATTCAGCGACGATTGATTGATTTGTCGAAAACTGAGAAGCGTGCTCGCTTCCTAGCGCCCTGCGGCTCACGTATTGTCAAATTTCTTGTACGTGATTGGTTTGTTCGTTAGACCACAAACACAAAGGGAAAGGAATGTAGTTCGGTTTTCAGCAGCCGTTGGTGGGGAGGAGCGTTGCGTGACGACACTAAAAACGGTTGTGTAGCAGACTACCAGATATTAAGACTGATAGATTTAAGAATGTTTTTGTAAATAGGAAAAATTTTAGATATAATCTTTGATCTTTCTATTATTTGTATACAGTATGTCTTATGTATTTTTATCTTCTTAATTGTATACAGTATGTCTTATGTATTTTTAGATTCTCAACTGCTGAGGTAACTTAAGATATGCCTTTTTACCTTAAGAGAATAAAGATTGATTGATTGATATAGCTCCTTAAAGTCGCGAAACTTGCCCAACGTCTGTAAATAGGCCATTTCCGAGTTCCCCCGCGCCTCTGTTTCAAAACGGAAATCATTTTTCATTCTCGTGCAAACAAAAGTCATTTTCAAAAGAAAGGTTGTGCACCTAGCCTCATTTTGAAAGCGAGGGTTTTTGGAACTCGGAAGTGGCCTATTATGCCAACTGAATTTGCGGAGCTATATCTTCGCTCGCTAAAGACGTATCACTTTTATCACATTTGGCAAATTTACTAATTTTAAGGTGCTTTTTCCAGTGGTGTCGACGGATTTTCCCTAACTGGTCCATCTCAAAAGTTAAAAAAACCGTGGACAGGTCTATATACTGCATAAGCTGTTTTTTAGACAGGGATGCTATCAGTTCTCGATTCTGTATTTGTGCAAAAAATTTCCTGCTTCTGATTGGATTGCTAAATAACCCCAGCATGGTTCTCAACAAATAAGGAGAATTTAGACGCTTCAGGCGGATTACATGCTTCTGCGTACGCAAAGTCTTTAATTTGTACAGTCGAAGCTCTCCTTGCAACCACTTTCGTAAGCGACCAGCTCTAGCTACGACCACAAATTCGACATTCGTGAAACCCCATTTGAACGGTGGCTTAAACTTTGTACTGAAAAGCTCTCGTAAGCGACCGCTCCCATACGTGACAGCGACCCCTTTTGGGATTACTCAACTGGACTTTTCTTTCTTTTCTCGTAAGCGACTACTCAGCCACCACTCAGAGTCTTTTTCATATAAATCAACACTTAAATGAAACGGCACACTGCGTTAATGGTCTAAAATATTGGACGTAAAGTTAAGCCGTGTCCGTGTCTGTGTCTATATCAGATATAAAGAGATTTTTCTTGATGAATTGTTAATCAGTTTCTGAAGCTCTCGTAAGCGACCACCCTCTGTTGTCTTGACCATGAGGACACTTACGAGAGCTCATTCTCGTAAGCGACCAGCTCTAGTTACGACTACTTTTTCGACTTTCTGAGGTGGTCGCTTAGGAGAGCTTCGACTGTATTAGGGATAGGTGAGTAGCGCAGTACCGTTGTATATTTTAGGGGTTGGTTGAGGTGTGGGAAGCGGAAAGCGTGGAGTTATATTGCACGCGGATTGATCGCGTTGCTTGGCTTGTTTACTTAGCTTGTTTACGTTCGCACGTATTGCGTGCCTTTTGCAACTGTGAATCAAAACAAGTGATCTCGATTACTCTATTTGAGCGACGCCCAAATAATTAAGAACTAGTTTCGCAAGGGACCAGTGAATCAAGAGAGCTGATTTATATCGCGGTACAACAAAATACACTTAAAGATACAATATACAGTTGAACCTCTCCGCCACAACGGCCAACTGAGGGACGGAAGAAAGTGGCCGTTGTGGTGAGGTGGCCGTTATGGGGAGGTAGGGGTGTTACATGACATCTGTTTTTGTTTGTTTGCTTGTTCTTTGTTGTTTTTTTCGGGGAATACAACATGTTTATTTTGCAGAGTTTATGCTTACTGTAGCCTATAATGGTGACATAGATAGAATACAAAATAAAACTTAAACGTTTGGAATCAAAATGTTAACAAGACAAAATTCACAACTCAGTTGAGGACAAGGAAGGAAGGTGACTTTCTTGTGAGCTTGTATTTGCCGGATAAGAATTAGCGACTACGACTCGTAGTTTAAAAACAAAGGAGAAAAATATAAATGTTCTAAACTGACTCTCACCCCGAGGTGCATGTTCTAAATACAAAAAAGTAGTGTATTACATTTAATCTAAAATGAATAGAGAGACTTGCCGCGATTGATCATCGACGCGCCATACGGATCAATGACTATTCTTGACTTTTTCGTCTATCGCTGAAAAAACGGACTGTTAACGAGACTTTATTCTGGCAGTTGAGGACACGCTTTGGTGGCCGTTGCCGTTGTAGAGAGGTTTAAACAGGAGCCAATGTTTGGATTGTCCGCCGGGGCAGAAAAAGTGGCCATTGTAGAGGGGTGGCCGTTAGTGGACGTTCTACTGTAACACACTAACATTAACATTTGTGGATACCAGTAATTTATTCACTTAATATACCAGTACACCGTTTCCCTTGAACGTAAGCTTTTGCAATGTTGCCCAGGAAGAAACATTTGGCAGTTTTATTGCTGATGACATGTGATCTCGAAGTAGCCTATGAGAGAGCGCGTTGATGGGGAGAGAATCCAGCTATACCAATATGTAATATGCTAACAAGGACTACTATGCTTTATGATTACTTGCAAGCCAAACCTGACTACAGTTACGTGTTAAATTAGGTACACTCCGACTCACCTGCGATATCTATCCAAAGACTAGGACTCCTCTCCATGAGCTCCATCAGACTTCTGACTTCTTCAATCCTAAGGGGGTTGCCTTCCACACTTAGCCTCTCAAGACTTATCAGGTCATTTGTGTCCTGAACGACACTTTTCAATTTGTTATTTCTCAAATCCAATTCTTGCAGATGTTGAAGTTGTTTGATACTTCTAGGCAACAGTGTTAGTTGATTGTCATTTACAGACAAGTGAGTCAGGTTAATAAGATCACCAATCAGTTCCGGAAGTTCTGTCAGCATGTTGTGGCTCAAATCTAATTTTGTAAGGAGAAGGTGATTGACACCATATAAATTTTCTGGAAAGCTTGACAGGCCGATATGGGAAAAGTCCAACACTCCCAATTTTTGAGCTGCATTTGTTCTTTCTTGTAGCAAAGCAGGGTTTACTGAACTCCGCCCTACACAACACAACAAAAGTGAAAGTAATTACTCAATGGCAATGCCAGCGCCTGAGAAGTTGCAAAGAGCCTAAAAAAAAAACTCAGGCTTACGAACATTCCAGTACCTCCATTTCTTTACATTCACAGTCTTATGCAAGTCTAATGTAAGTCTAATGTAAATAACAATAACGCTTGGAAAAATGAATTCCATTAATCTCTTTTAAACAAACAAATTAAAGAGTTGGAGTCTTTTCTTTTTTCTCGAAAAATTAGTTGTTGACTGCACAAGGGTATGGCAAAAATGAAATGCCAGTTGAAAATGTGTCTTTCTGAACTAGAAACTGGAAAACTGCAAAGCCATTTTAACACCGCAAATTCGTAAGTAAAGTGAAAAAATAAAACGAACAAACGAATTAAAACAAGACAAAAAGTTTACCTGAAGGACCTTCACAGGATGATGTTCCTGGGATACTGGGGGCCTGTGCCTTATCA